GTTCAGAGCGTCGCTCAAAAATGACAAACCAGCCCCGGCCGGTGTGGCTCAGTGGATAGAGCGTCGGCCTGCGGACTGAGGGGTCCCGGGTTCCATTCCGGTCCAGGGCACAGGCCCGGGTTGTGGGCTCCATCCCCAGTGGGGGCGTGCAGGAGGCAGCCGATCCATGGTTCTCTCTCATCATTGATGTTTCTAGAACTCTCTTTACCTCTCCCTTCCTCTCTGAAATCAGTAAAAATATATTTTTTTAAAATGACAAAACTAGTTTCTGAAACCAAGTTTGCAAGCAAAGTCGGCCATGAACTTGTGCGTTCCACCTTCACGAATGGGCATTTCCCCCCAAAAAAGTGAGTGAGTGCTGCCGCCCTGCGGACAGGAGCGGTATTGCAGGGAGAGGAGGGACTTAGGTACCTGTTTCTCAGACTGGGGCGCACCCAGCCAAGCTCCCTCCCACCCCCGCCAGCACCTACAAAACTCACCCAGTGGGTTTGTCCCTGCGCCGGCGGCACTGCCGTGGCCTCTGACAATAAGCCAAGCCCCAGCCAGGATTTAAAAAAACAGCCGAGCCCTGACCGGTGTGGCTCAGTGGATAGAGCATCAGCCTGCAGACTGAAGGGTCCCGGGTTCAATTTCGGTCAAGGGCATGTACCTCGTTGCGGGCACATCCTCAGTAGGGGTCGTTCAGGAGGCAGCCGGTCCATGATGTTTTTCTCTCACCCATGTTTCTCTCTCTCTCTCCCTCTCCTTTCTTCTCTCTCTAAAAGTCAACTTAAACGTTATTTTTAAAAATAATAAGTTTAAAAACAGCGATATAAGAGATTTCAGTGGGGATGGAACCACAAGTATAGAAGCCCTCAGGAGGGGTGGGAGGGAGAGAGAGAGAGAAACATCCATGATGAGAGAGAATCATGGACCGGCTGCCTCCTGCACGCCCCCCACTGGGGATGGAGCCCACAACCTGGGCCTCTGCCCTTGACTGGGAATCGAACCCTGACCTCCTGGTTCCTAGGTCGGCGCTCAACCACTGAGCCACGCCGGCCGGCTTCCTTCCCCGACACACCAGAATCCACAAAACTAAGTAAAGTCATTCTTGCCTGAGCCGGCTGCATTGCCAGGTCCTCCAACAATAAGCCATCCCAGAGCCAGGATAAAGGAAACAGCCCCATGAAGGATTCGGAAGGGGGGAGCAGTAAGTGCAAAGGCCCTGGGGTACATCTCTGGATCCCCCCCTCCAATGACCCACTGCTTTCCTAAGGCTCCTGGGAACTCATGGAGGCTCTGAGCAAAGTCCACGACTCTGGTCCTCTTACCCAATAGTCTTTGTAAAAAGCAGGTCGATAGCGCCACCTCGAGGACACAAGCGGAATTGCAGCCGTCAGAACAGGGACAGTTGTCTGTGTTCTCAGATTGGGGAGGGGGGGGGCTGTCCCATTTCCCTCTCAGACGAGCCAGAATTCACAGAAATAACTGAAGTTGGTGCTCCCTGAGCCAGCTGTAGTGCCCTGTCCTCCAGAAATAAGCCATTCCAGACCCATTATTAACGAAAACAGCCGCATATAGAGTGTTGAAGGACACTAACAGGACGTGCAAAGGTCCTGGGGCAGAAATGAAGTCGGTTTTTTCTGTGGGTGGACAGGGCTGGTGGTCGGGCGGATAAGGGGCTGGTTGGTGAACTAGGGACGTCTCCTGTACACCCATCTTACTCCCCCTGCTGCTGTCTCTGCCTCCCTCATTTCAGACTTTTAAATCCCAGTGGCCTGCGTCTTAGCTGTTCACCTCCATCTCCTTTTCTCTGACACATCGCCCACCTCCTGGGCTGTGGGAGATAAAGTGAGATCGGGCCTCTCCGTGTCCAGCACACTGGCCTCCTTCCTGCTCCCGACCCCTTTGTGGGGGGGCCCCGCTGGGAATTGGGGGTGCCAGGCTTTCTCCCCAGACCTGGCTGGGCCCGGCACCCCTCCCTCCCGGGGCGGCCGCC